GGAGGGGGCCGGGGGAGAGGGGGGCGGGGCCACGGCCGGGCTGATCTCGTCAGGCGTAAGGGGCGGGGCTGGGCTAAATAGCGGCGTGAGTGAGGCGAGAGGCGGGGCCGGGCTGACGCACGGCGGGCGCGAGGGGCGGGTCCACGGCCGGCTGAACCGCGGCGGGCGCGAGGGGCGGGGCCGGGCTGAACTACGGCGGGCGCCGGGGAATCGCGCTGCAGCCGACGGGGCGGAGGACACCCGAAAGCTGTCGCTGCCCACGCCAGGCTGCGGCTAAGTCGCCCTCCGGGTGTGCACGGAGCCGGAGCCGGAGCCGCCCAGAGCCCCGGAGGCGCGCGCTGGGGTCGCAAGGCCGGGCCGTCTCCTCGAGCCCCGGGTCTCCAGGTCTTGACCTCGGGCATCCCCGGCCCGGCTGCGCCCACGCGCTGAGTGTTGTCTGTGGGAGTTTCAGCCGTTCGCTCAGGTCGTTATTGGAGTTATGTATGTCTCCTCTAGTGTGTTCGGTTCCCTCTTTAGAACCCACACCCAGGGAAGAACCTACCACTTAACAGGTGCTCCATGTACGTTTGTTGAAAACCTGATAGCAGGTGATCGATACAGAGCATCTGTACTAGGGGTGCCCGCCCGGGCTGGCGGGGGCGGCGTCGGGGCTGTCAGCTGAGGGTGTGGTCGGCCTGGGACCCGGGCTCTTCTCCTTTCAAGTGCCATGAACAGAACTGCCTTATCTCCCCCTCACGACTGTTTTGGGGATTAAATAGGACGTTTAAATCACCAACACTTCTTGAAATAAACGTTTCGAAATCATTATAGCTCTACAGTACGTGTGGGAAAACGTTAACATTCACGTTCAAGCTTATTTTTCTGCTGGTTCATTTAGGTTTGTTGAAACCCCGAGTCCCTAGGGTTGTCTAAGAACTTCGGTAAATGTGTGTGGAGGCCTCCCCGGGGGGCCAGAAAATAGCCAGAAGCCTTCGTGGTGTTAGGGGAACAGGAGCATACCGGCCACACCGTTTTAAAATCAACTCCACCTAGGCCGGCGCCGGGGCTCACACCTGTAATACCAGCATTCTGGGAAGCCAAGGCGGGTGGATCACCTGAGGTCAGGAGTTGGAGACCAGCCTGGCCAACATGGTGAAACCTCGTCTCTACTAAAAATAAAAAAAGAAATGAGTTGGGCTTGGTGGTGGGTGTACACCTCGTTTCTACTAAAAATACAAAAAGAAATGAGCTGGGTGGTGGCAACTGTAGTCCCAGCTATTGAGAAGGCTGAGGCAGGAGAATCGTTTGAACCAGGAGTCGTAGGTTCCAGTGGGCTGAAATCACACCACTGCTTGCAAGCCTGGCTGGTCAGAGTAAAACTCCGTCTCAAAAAAAAAAAAAAAATAACTCCACCTTAAAACGAGTGAAACCACCATTGCAGCATTATAACTGAGACAGGGAGAGATCTGACCTAACCAACTCCATCCTGCTTCTAACGTCCAAGGGTTCTTGTTCATTCCTGGGTGTAGGCCTAACTAACTTTGGGAGAAACTTAGCTTATAGTTTCTGGAAACAAATCACTTTCTCGCTTGGGGACTAGACTGCCTTTGTAGGACTAACAAATTAGGAGATTAGAAATTATGGTGTAGGATTCATGCAGCTGGAGGTTACAAGCTTCTGACCCTCCCTGAATCGCTCCTGGGGATGACATCACTGTGGTAAAACGGAAGATCAGTGTTTGAGACATTTTCCAGATCTGTACTTCCTGGTTCAGCTGGGATGACCCAGATGGATAAACGGGCTCCTCTGATCTTGGGGCCCCACCCAGGAACTGACTCCGGCCAAGAGGACAGCTTCGATCCATGTGGTTTCTCCTCTGATCATCAGCACTTCCTGCTTCCTGAGCCCCTACCTACCAAATTATCCTTAAAAACTGAACTCTGAGGCTGGGCACGGGTAGCTCACACCTGTAATCCCAGCACTCTGGGAGGCTGAGGTAGGCAGATTGCTTCAGGTCAGGAGTTTGAAACCAGCCTGGCCAACATGGCAAAACCCCTTCTCCACTAAAATACAAAAATTAGCCAGGCGTGGTGGCGCGCACCTGTAATACCAGCCACTAGGGAGGCGAAGGCAGAAGAATTGCTCGAACCCAGGAGGCGGAGGTTGCAGTAAGCTGAGACTGTGCCATTGCACTCCAGCCTGGGCCGCAGAGCAAGACTCCATTTCAAAAACAGAGCTGGGCGTGGTGGCTCATGCCTGTGATCCCAGCACTTTGGGAGTCCGAGGGGGACAGATCAGGTGGTTAGGAGTTCGAGACCAGCCTGGCTGAGGTGAAACCCCATCTCTACTAAAAATACAAAAAACTAGCCAGGTGTGGGTGGGCACCTATAATCCCAGCTACTTGGGAGGCTGAGGCAGGAGAATCACTTGAACCTAGCAGGCGGAGGTTGCAGTGAGCTGAGGCTGCACCACTGCACTCCAGCCTGGGCGGCAGAGCAAGACTCTATCTCAAAAAAAAAAAAAAAAAAAAAATCCAACAACAAAAACTCTGAACTCCAAATTCTTGGGGACATTGATTTGATTAATAATAAAAGCCTGGTCTCCCGCAAAGCCAGCTCTGTGTGAATTATTCTTTCTCTTATGCAATTCACCTGTTTTGATAAATCAGTTCTGTCTAGGCAGAAGGTAACGTGAACCCGTTGGCAGTTACATTGGCCTGTAGTCCCAGCTACTTGGGAGGCTGAGGCAGGAGAATTGCTTGAACCCAGGAGGTGGAGGTTGCAGTGAGCTTTCGTGCCACTGCGCGCCAGCTGCTGTCTCAAAAAAAAAAAAAAAACCAAAATAAGATTGTTATAGTCATGCTTGGATGCAGGTACGCACTGACATGCCAAGGATAACTTTCTTTACATCCACCAAGTGCTAGATTTTGTCGCGCTGTCAGCCCACCTGCACTTACATGTGGCTCAGCTTTTACATAGATCCACCATGCCTTTGCAACAAAGACAGCGTGTTCCTCCAGGTGCTTTCCGCGGGCCCCCCACTCTGTATCGGAGAAGCTCCCTCTCACTGCACTCTGTGACTGCCCCGCTTTCCTCCCTGCCCAAGATCCAAGGACCCTCTCTTGGGGTCTGGATCAGACCTTTCTCCGGCAACACTGGGTTCCTCAGATTCACCCTCACATTATGCTGAAGCCTGTCTTACAAAGAAGGAACTGAGGCCTAGAAAGATGGAGCCATAACTTGCTTAGTTATGTGGCTAGTAAGTTCTTCAGCTTGACTTTAAACATTCTGGAATGGCATCTTTCCTCTTGGCTATCTTTAAAGCAGAATGATAAAATAGTTTTGCTTCCTAAAAAACAATCACAGTTTTAACTGATGACCAGTACCCATGTGGGATGTGCAAGACTGAATGAAACCCGGCCGGGCAGATTCCCAGCTTGTTCTGTCACAGTTCGAGCACTGCTGTTCACAGCCCGGGTTCTCCCCGCCCCGCCCCACCACCCATGGGTGTCTCACCTCCTTCCCCAACAGATCCAATGACACAATAAACATTCATCTTGGGCGCACGGCTTATCTGGCAGCAGGCTAAGCCCTTTCGTAAATCGGTTCTTTCAAACATCACAGGAGTCAGAGACAGGCACCCTTACCCACGTGCTGTAGAAAAAACCAGCATTCAGTGACGCTGAGGTCAGGCCATGTCTGCACCTCCACACACTGCTGGATGACGAAGCCGAGCTCTGACACTCGATGCCACGAGGTGCTTGGAGAAGACAGTGGAAAATGGGGGAGTCAGGACCATCTTACTCGTTTAATTTTCTAGCCACATAAGGAATCTATGCTCACTGCAAAGTTTGGCTGCTCCATAACACAAAAGAGAGTAGCAGGGTCTTTTAAAAAAACATAGCAGAGGATGGGAGGAGTTGTCTTCTGCCTGTTTCTTTCTCCTAAAAGGAGCAAGATGACTGTGTTCTCAGAGGGATGTATAACCGAGCGAGAGGGGGAAGTCCACAGGAACCGATTTTAAATCCATACTGCTCCACCAGTGAGCAGTAGTAGTTCTGTGGGTGGAAGAGCGGGGCCACTGTGCTTGCAAACAGCACTTTCAAACACTGGCACCCAAGTTCAGGATCTGCTGACAGCCCGTCTGCAGCAAGCATAAGGGTTTTTAGGCTGGTGCTGTGGCTCACGCCTGTAATCCTAGCACTTTGGGAGGCTGAGGCAGGTGGATCATCTGAGGTCAGGAGTTCAAGACCACCCTGGCCAACATGGTGAAACCCGGTCTCTACTAAAATACAAAAAGTTATCTGGCTGTGGTACTGGGCGCCTGTAGTCCTAGCTATTCGGGAGGCTGAGGCAGGAGAATGGCTTGAACCTGGGAGACAGAGGTTGCACTGAGCTGAGATCTGGCCATTGCACTCCAGCCTGGGCAACAGAGCAAAACTCTGTCTCAAAAAAAAAAGGTCTTTGGACTCTCGCAGAGCAGGTGCTCAGTTTCTCAGCCTCACTGTGGCGAGGACTTACCCTGACCTAGCTCTAGGCAGGGTCCTGGAAGCCCTCAAGGGCCTGAGGTGGCACCCTGGGCCCTTTCCTCCAAAAGAATCCTGCTGGGTCCATGCAGTGACAATTCCCCGCCCTTGTTATCTGATCATATGCCTCATCCCCCACCCTCGGTATCTGATCGCCTGACCTGCCTGCGACAGGAACCCTGCTGGGTGGTTCTAGCAGGAACCCCAGGCCTGATGTCCCATCTTTGTAGTTTTCCATCTGCCTTCACCTGCTCTGTGGCTACACATTCTCCTTTTCCTTGTTGGACTGTGTTGAGTCCAGTCCCACTGCAGCGGCCCATGTACCTATAGCGATTCCCTTCAAACTGTAAACCAAAAATAAATTCTAGCCCCTTTAACTGCCTCAGCCACAAGCTTTCCAAAGTAAACCTTGAAGAGTATTTCCCTCGGTGATGGGAAGCGGGGCTTGGGCAGGCTCCTTCTACCCTCCCTCCGTTGAAATCCAGGCACAGCTGACCTCATTCGCATGAAAGCAGAGCTCTTCAGATGGACAAAACAGACGGCAGCCACAAGATACAAAAATCCAACTTGACTGTAGGATGGCGTCACGGGACAGAGAGCAGGCCCTGGAAGATAGCAAGTGTTTTACCCCAGATTATCTTTCTTTTCTTTTTTTTTTTGAGATGGAGTTTTGCTGTTGTTACCCAGACTGGAGTGCAGTGGCACGATCTCGGCTCACCTCAACCTCCGCTTCCTGGGTTCAAGCAATTCTCCTGCCTCAGCCTCCTGAGTAGATGCCTACCACCACACCTGGGTAATTTTGTATTTTTAGTAGAGACGGGGTTTCACCATGTTGACAAGGATGGTCTTGATCTTTTGACCTCGTGATTCACCCGCCTCGGCCTCCCAAAGTGCTGGGATTACAGGCGTGAGCCACCGCGCCCGGCCTACCCCAGATTATCTTTGATTTATTTTGAAGTGGCCCCACACAGCTGTGTCTTGTAGGAGAAAATCCATGTCCTGTCAGAATCCTCTCCCTCTCCAGGTCTTTTCCCTGTTCCAGGAGAGAATTAACTAAGAGTTTGGCACCTGTTTTAGGTCATATACGAGCCCTGAGGATAAAAACCTTGGTGTCTACAACCTTATCTTAACCCAGATACTCCCTTCTATTCATTCCAGGTTTTCACCAAGTAACTTAACTCTTTCAAGAAATTGCCCATCAGAAAATTGTTGATTCCACCTGTGACCTGGACACCTCCCACCTGTGTCCCTGGAGTTGTCCCACCTTTCTGGACGGAATCATTGTGCACCTTACACGTATCCATAGGCAACATGTACACTCCCACACACCGCTAAATGACAAAGCCAGACGTTGAAATACGATGCCGCAAGGTGCTTGAGAAGACCATTGAAATGACATAATGGAGGTGGCAGGGGACCTTCGTACCCTTTTCTTATTTTCTGCCTGTAACTTCTGTCCCCCTAAAATAAAACCCAGCCACCTGATGCATTAACTCCTAGGCCCTCCTGGGACCATGTCACTGATCACTATCCTCATATTTGGCTCAGAATAAATCTCATCATATACTTTACAAATTTGACTCTTTTGGTTGACAAGTCTGTCTTATACCTTCTTAGAAAGAGAGAAAGAACTCGTAATAGAAAATTATCTTTCCGCGGTCTTCCTGCTGACGTGGGCATTCATTGTGTCCCATTGTGTCCATTTCTTTTTCCAAAAAGTGTATCTTTCTTAAAACATGAAAAATATTCAGCCACAAAACACAGTTCCAGGCATACCTGTGGGACACTCGGGATACAGTACTAAAGGGCTCTGACGCCGTCTTGACGATGCCTACCTTGGGTGTTCCTTCTCCTGGCTGTGTGACCTTGGAGGGACTGCTTAACCTCTCTGAGCCACAAGTGTAAAAGGCTGAGATTAGTCCCTAAAGTCTCCTCCAGCCTTAAAACTAGATGATCCTGAATCTTCTGCCTCTTGAGGACCAGACAAACAACAGAGGTCAGGGCTCTCCCTGCTGAAAATGATAACCTTGAGATAATGGCTGTAATTATCTCGGCACACAGAAAGCCCTAAATCTTCATTGGACGAAGACATTGCCATAATAACCAGCCTTTAAAATGTGACCTGGGAGCCGGGCATGGTGACTCACACCTATAATCCCAGCACTTTGGGAGGCTGAGGCTGTCAGATCACCTGAGGTCAAGAATTTGTGACCAGTCTGGCAAACTGCATCTCTACTAAAAATATAAAAATTAGCCGGATGTGGCAGCACATGCCTCTAATTCTAGCTACTCAGGAGGCTGAGGCAGGAGAATTGCATGAACCTGGGATGCAGAGGTTGCAGTGAGCTGAGACTGTGCCACTGCACTCCAGCCTGGGTGACAGAGCCAGGCTCTGTCTCAAAAAAAGATTAAAAAAAAAAAGAAAAAGAAAAGAAAAGTGCCCTGTCAAGACCGTGTTGATTCTAGGGGCTACAGAGACAGCTCTTCTTGTGGGGTCACCATAGCACACCGTCCTCTAGCCCCCCTCCATGGGGACATTTGTTAGTATCTGGGGTGTTTTTGGTTGTCATGACCTGGGGTGAGAAGCAGGTTGCTGCTGCTGACCTTCAGAAGGGAGAGGCTGCCAGGCTTCCGACAATGCCAGGGCAGCCCTGCAGCAATGGCCCAGCCCCAGTGTCAGTGGAGCTGAGCTTGAGAAAAATCTGCATCTTGGCTGGGTGCAGTAGCCTGTAATCCCAGCACTTTGGGAGCTCCAGTCTGGCAGATCATGAGGCCAAGAGATTGAGACCATCCTGGCCAACATGGTGAAACTCCGTCTCTACTAAAAGTACAAAACATTAGCCGGGTGTGGTGGCGTGTGCCTGTAATCCCAGCTACTCAGGAGGCTGAGGCAGGGGAATTGCTTGAACCCAGGAGGTGGAGGTTGCATTGAGCCGAGATTGCACCACTGCACTCCAACCTGGCGACAGAGCAAGACTCCATCTCAAAAAACAAAAAAACTACATCTAGGAAAAGGACACACCTTCACTTAAAAACTAAAACTGCAGGGAGAGGGACGCTGGACTCAAAACGGACTTTCCACTGCCCCAAACAGATCTTGTCTCCATGCATCTCCTGGAATGCTATCAAGTGGCACTTGGGTAACCTAAGGGATGTCAGTGCAGCTTTGAGAAAGGCTTAATTCAGGCCAGGTACAGTGGCTCACCTGTAATTCCAGCACTTTGGGAGGCCGAGGTAGGCAGATTGCCTGAGCTCAGGAGTTTGAGACCAGCCTGGGAAACACAGTGAAACCCTGTCTCTACTAAAAACACAGAAAATTAGCTGGGCATGGCGGCATTTGCCTGTGGTCTCAGCTACTTGGGAGGCTGAGGCAGAAAAATTGCTTGAACCCAGGAGGTGGAGGTTGCGGTGAGCCAAGATCGGTCCACTGCACTGCAGCCCAAGTGGCAGAAGGTAACTCTGTCTCAAAAAGAAAAAAAGCTTAATTCAGGGTAGGGGCAGTGGCTGACGCCTGTAATCCCAGGACTTTGGGGGGCAGAGGGGTGGATCACTTGAGGTCAGGAGTTCCAGACCAGCCTGACCAACATGGTGAAACCCCGTTTCTACCAAAAATACAAAATGTAGCCAGGTGTGGTGGCAGGTGCCTGTAATCCCAGCTACTTGGGTGGCTGAGACAGGAGAATCGCTTGAACCCGGGAGGCACAGGTTGCGGTGAGCTGAGATCTTGTCATTGCATTTCAGCCTGGGCAACAAGAGTGAAACTCCATCTCAAAAAAACAAAAAAAAAAAGAACTGCTTCATACTCATAGAGGGATACAATCGTTTTATTTTTCATCCCTGTTACCGTTTTAGGAGCAAATTTACAGACTCACATCCAGCCTCCCCCTCCCCAAACACAAAGCATAATACAGTATAAGTCAAATATGTAGATGTATAAAAGAAATTGAAATTTAGTGAAATTTCGTGTACTTACAATGTCAGGTAGAATGTTACAAAGTAGGCAAATCCAGAAAGCAAGCACTGAAGTGGCGTGGTTGTGAATCGCCAAACAATGAAAACATACCTAAGAGTTTTCTTCCCACACAGCAGCACTGAGTTTAGCTTCACAGACAAGGATGTGAAACTTGGGATCAGCTGGCCAGAAACCAAGAACAGTACTTAGGAAATAAAATTCCATCACCCCCCCACCCCATGAAATGGGTCCTCAGGGCAGGATGGATGACCCACACGGGTGACTGGATGACCCACACGGTCGTGACGGGACCAGACATGCAATCTCCTCCGTCTCACAGGGAATCCAGGTTTCACACCCTCTCCGGAGTCTCCTGCATGGGACAAGGCGGAGCTGACTCAGTCTGACGATGACTCTGCAGGCCTGGACTTCATTCCACAGGAAGTTAGTCACTCGGCATGAGGAGGTGTAACAGGACGTTGTCTCTGCTGAGGAAGTGGGGCTCCCCCTCAATGGGCTGTCCATCATCAGCCCAGGAGAGGCTGGGCCGGGTTGTGGTGCGTGCAACCCCAAGCTTGCTGGGCAGACCAGGTGTGGCCCAAGTCGTTTCAAGGTGAAGAGCAGGTGATACATCAGGACCTGCGACACGGTGTTCAGAGAGCATCTAACACAAGCCAGCTGTCTTTGGGGGGGCAGAATGGCGGGGAGGCACTGGTATCTTGTGGGCAGAGGCTTCTTGGCAGACCACAAAGGTGGGCAGGGGTCTGCGTGGGGCCCTGAGGGGCTTGGAAGCTGAAGCCCATGTCAGTGAGAAAAATCAGGAGGGGAAGAGCCAGGGAAATCGGACGGGGATCTGCTCCTGAATCTCTGACTCCATGGAGGACTTTGTAAGGTTTGGACCAAGAGCAGAGGAAGGTTTAATGCATGGCATAGTCCATCCTCCTGTTAGTCTGTGTCAGGTTGAGTCCATCAAGACCCGAGTCATTACATCCATTTCTCGATTTCCCAGGAGCGTTGCTTCTCCTTCACTTGCTGGGAAAGGGAGAAGTTCATGGGATGGCGCAGGTCTCAACAGACTCAGCCTGAAGCTGCCCTGAGGATCCAGCAGATCGGCAGACCCAGCAGACCTCATGGGCTCGGTGGTCTGCAGGGCAGGAGGCTGTCACGAGACCGGCGGGCAGTCACCGAAGGGGCTCTGGGGCTTTGCAGCAAGGCTCGTTCTTCAGTGGCTGACCTCCTTCCAAGAAAGATGATGGCCGGGTTGACCCCGGGGTGCCAGGTGAGCCCAGACGTGCACTGGGAACTCGGTTACTGTCGAGTTTAAAATGAGGAAACTGAGGCCAGTATAAGAAAATTAAATGCCAATTTACTCAGATCCCGGGCAAGGTTCTCCGGTCCTGGGAAAGGGGGCCAGAGAAGTCGCACTGACTTCCTGGGGCGGGGGTTATGGCTATGAGGACCTGGCAACAGCCGGGTGCTCTGATTGGCTCCCGGGGAGCGGGAATGGGACGGGGCGGGCTGCCATTGGTTGGCAGGTTGTTGGGCGGGTTTTCCGGTGCCAGAGCCGGCCAGGGTTGCATCAGCCGGAGCCTTCCCAGGAGGCCGTGCGCAGAGCCTGGTGCCGGGTGCAGAGTCAGGTGCTGAGTGCAAAGGTGGGTGTGTCCGGCCTCCCGCCAGGCCACCGGCCTTACACCCACCACGGGGCCACCAAGCCTCCCCCAGCTCCTCAGAGCAGGCACGGTGTGGACGTGTCTCCAGACGGCGCGCCCATAGCCCTGCGCTCCACTCTCACCTGCCTTCTGCTGGGTCCCCTTGGGTGCTTTCCCGTGAGTACTGTCTGAGGGTGAAAAATGTGTGTTCGGGCCGGGCGCGGTGGCTCACGCCTATAATCCCCGCACTTTGGGAAGCCGAGGCGGGTGGATCACGAGGTCAAGAGATCGAGACCATCCTGGTCAACATGGTGAAACCCCATCTCTACTAAAAATACAAAAAATTAGCTGGGCATGGTGGCGCGTGCCTGTAATCCCAGCTACTCAGGAGGCTGAGGCAGGAGAATTGCCTGAACCCAGGAGGCGGAGGTTACCGTGAGCCAAGATCGCGCCATTGCACTCCAGCCTGGGTAACAAGAGCGAAACTCCGCCTCAAAAAAAAAAAAAAATATGTGTTCGGCAGCAGTGTTAGATACCAGAGTGTCTTGGATAGGAAGTATATCACTGTTATAGTCCCAGAAAGATCTCAAGTTCTGAAAATATCTGTCATCTCCTGGAAATGCTTATTAAAGGTCCTCAAGGCAGGGCGCAGTGGCTCACGCCTGTAATCGCAGCACTTAGCAGGGAGGATCATGAGGTCGGGAGATTGAGAACATCCTGTCTCTACTAAAAATACACAAATTAGCTGGGGGTGGTGGCACATGCCTATTGTAATGCCAGCTACTCAAGAGTCTGAGGCAGGAGAATTGCTTGTACCAGGGAGTCGGAGGTTGCAATGGGCTGAGATCACATCATTGCATTCCAGCCTGGCGACAGAGTGAGACTCTGTCTCAAAAAAAGAAAAAAAAAAAAAAAGCCCTCACTACAAAAGAGAAGCAGGCTGATAGAGATGTTGAGAGCAAATAAAGATATTCAAAACAAGTAAAGAGATTCAATTGAGGGGAAAGCTCATTTTTACGTAAGACTGCAAAGTAAGTGTGGTGGGTACCTGGCGATTATCTAAGCCACTGGTGTGGTGCAGGGGTTAAGAAGAATTTGCCAAGACGGTTGATGGTAAGGAAACGCAGATTGTTTAGAAAAAGTATGAAAGTACATTGGAAGGGAGCAACGGGCAGGCCAGCAGGGGAGGAGCTGACGGCCAGGAGACAGAGGCTGTCGGGGGATTTCACAGGACGGCGCTGGTGCTGTGAGCTGCAGAGGCCCTCTGCAATGCTGATAACGCCAAGGTTGCAGCGAGCTAACTTGCAATTTTTGTATCAGCGGAAGTTCTGGTGATAGGTGGCCCTGGGAGGACTGTGAGTTATTCTGCAGGAGAGCCCTGTGTCCTGGAGCATGAAGAAAGGCAAATTCACAGCTTCTCCACTTTTTTTTTTTTGCTTTCCTTTTGTCTCACCAAGCTGAATTCCCCTCCCTAATGAGGACTGGACCGTAATGAGAATGCAAGGGGATGACAGCATTTTCTTTTTTTTATTTTAAGACAGAATTTCACTCTTGTTGCCCAGACTAGAGTGCAGTGGCACAATCTTGGCTCACTGCAACCTCCACCTCCTGAATTCAAGCAATTCTCCTGTCTCAGCCTCCCAAGTAGCTGGGATTACAGGTGGCTGGCACTACACCGGGCTAATTTTTGTATTTTTAGTAGAAACGTGGTTTCACCATGTTAGCCAGGCTGGTCTCGAACTCCTGACCTCAGGTGATCTGCCCATCTCGGCCTTCCAAAGTGCTAGGATTACATGTGTGAACCACGTGCGCAGCCGGGAATGACAGAATTTCAAAATCACCATCTGTCAACTCCTAATACATATAATGAGGTGGTTAAGAATCAGTAAAAGATTCCTGGAACCGTTAGGCAGAAAGAGCTGCAGTGGGGAGCTGCACACCTGGTCACGGCACCTGCGGCAACTTAGGTGCTTATCAGAAGGAGGAAAATGTACCCTGCTGATGAGGAGATGAGGCTGTCACCACCTAACTCAGAGGAAGATCTTTGCATCACGATAGTGGGATGTGAGCCACGTGCCTTCCAAGGCTGTCCAGCAGGAAGCACACAGGACCATCTCTGCAGAATGAAAATCCAGTAGAACTACTGATCAACCTGCCGGTCTGCAGGAAATACAGGGGATAGGAAACAAGTTAAATGACACCTTGAGGAAACAGACAAATTCAGACCGTCAGGCATTGTCTTCTCAACAATTCAGTGCCACAAAAGAAGAAAAAAGTGAGAGGACTGTCCCATTAAGTGACACTTAAGACAGAAAACCGAACGTTTGGTCCTGAATTCCATCCACATGTCAGCTAACCAGCCGGAAGATAAGTTTTTCAAATAATTGGGAAATTATGGATGTAGCCAGCACTAGATGATGTTAGATCATTCATTTTGTGGGATGGTTAGTGGCATTGTGCTTCTACAGGAAAATGTTCTTGTTTTTTAGAGATGTGTAGAGATTCTTTTAGGGATGAAATATCATCGTGTTCACAATTTACTTTAAAATACATCAGGAAGAAAGAAAACTAGATGAAGCAAAGAAGGCAAAACGTCAGCAGCCGTTAAATCAACCACGAAGAATGTGTTTCTGTTCTTTAACTATTGCCATCTCGACATGTCCATATGTTTGGAAATTTTCATAATCAAAAGCAAATAATAAGAAGAGAATGATATTTGGAAAGATTCTGTTAAAAGAGTGAAAAAGATAACCAGGTAGGCCAATGACATCTCCTCACCTGCTGTCCCCATCCTCCTCTGTTTTGTCCACAGGCTTTCTCAATGGACTGACAGCCAGAGGTTGGGGTGTCAAGAAGTTGGGGTATCAAGGTTAAGCACAAAATATGGATTTTATCTGACAAGACAGACTGGCCACTGACGGTTAAATTCTTTCCTGCAAAAGGGACAAGCCCGGAGCCCGGTTACCAGCCCCAAACTCAAGACAGGCTCTTCTTTTAGGAAGTGGACAAAGCTCTATGACCAGAGCAAGCACTTTGGGGAATTTAGATTTGTTCTGTGTGTGTGTTTTGTTTTGAAACAGGGTCTTGCTCTGTCACCCAAGCTGCAGGGCGGTGGTGTGATCACAGCTCACTGCAGCCTTGACCTCCTGGGCTCCAATGATCCTCCCATCTCACCCTCTTCAATAGCTGGCACCATAGGTGTGGGCCATGACTTCTGTTAATTCTTGTATTTTTTGTAGAGACAGGGTCTTTCTATGTTGCCCAGGATGGTCTCAAACTCCTGGGGTCAAGCAGTCCTCCTGCCTTGGTCTCCCAAAGTGTTGGGATTACAAGCATGAGCCATCATGCCTGGCCAGCATATTTATTAACATCAGAATTTCTTTTTCTTTTGAGACGGAATTTCACTCTTGTTGCCCAGGCTGGAGTGCAATGGGGTGATCTCGTCTCACTGCAACCTCCACCTCCTGGGTTCAAGTGATTCTCCTGCCTCAGCCTCCCGAGTAACTAGGATTACAGGCATGTGCCACCATACCTGGCTAATTTTGTATTTTCAGTAGAGACGGGATTTCACCATGTTGGTCAGGCTGGTTTTGAACTCCTGACTACAGGTGATCTGCCCGCCTTGGCCCCCCAAAGTACTAGGATTACAGGCACCCAGCCAGCATATTTATTAACATCAGAATTTTTTACTAAATTATCTCGCTTTATACGTCTTTGACTACCAATAAAATGCATGTAGTCGACCTGAGGGCACCTGCTTCTGGGAATGGTTCTGTGAGTTGCAGTGTCCCATGTGAAGCTTTCTGGCTGATCAAGGCTGAAATTCCATGTGGCAGAAAATCCAGGCCATAGAGGGACCGTTAAATGAAGCCACAGGCAACCAGACAAATCCAGAATGTGTACATTCTGCCAAACAATTGGCCAGGTCTCTGTAACAGGTCAGTGTGCTGGGAGGGGGTGGGGGAGTGGGGGAGTGTGTCAGGGGATCAAGTCTAGATTAAAACAGACAAAGAGACCCGACAACTGCGTGCACCTCGCGAACCGTGATGGGAGGCTTTTCCGACAGGCAGCAAGCAGACAGACACATCCTCAGGGACAACGGGGGACATTCAGGATGGACTGAGCATTAGGTAATATTAGTGACTTCTTGTCGACTTTCTCAAATAGGCTGGAAGGCACTACGATTAAGCAGATGATTTTGCATACTTATAATCTGCATTATCGTTCCAGCCCACTTAAGAAAGTCAGCAATAAGTCAGTGTTTTTAAGAGAAATGTTTTCAGGCCAGGCGCGGTGGCTCATGCCTATAATCCCAGCACTCTGGGAGGCCAAGGCGGGTGGATCACGAAGTCAAGAGATGGAGACCATCCTGGTCAATATGGTGAAACCCCATCTCTACTAAAAATTACAAAAAATTAGCTGGGCATGGTGGCGCGTGCCTGTAATCCCAGCTACTCGGGAGGCTGAGGCAGGAGAATTGCCTGAACCCAGGAGGCGGAGGTTGCAGTGAGTCAAGATCAATTCACTGCACTGCAGCCTGGGTAACAAGAGCGAAACTCCCTCTCAAAAAAAAAAAAAAAAAAAAAAAAATATTTTCTACCCAACAAATGTTTTTAAGAGAAACGTGTTGAAGCACTGGGCTCGAGTGATGGTATGGTGGTTTAGTCTGAAAGGACTCAGTTGTGTGTGTGAGAGTGTATGTGAGTGTGTGTGTATGTCAGTGTATGTGTCTGTGTGTGAACATGTGAGCATGTCTGTGAGTGTATG